GACCTCGGAGGGGGAGGAGGAAACGGCTTGGAGCCAGCGGGGGGCCTGGGGTGGCCAAGCCTTGGTTCCAAGTCGGGCGCGCCCCTCTGCCAAGTCTGGGCAGGATGTCTGCACTGTTTTTGATTCTTTGGGGGGCTCTGACTTGCCTTGCACGTTTCGCCCCAAATCCGCCTGTAGGAGGACATGCCCGACCTAACACTGGTTCTGGCCAGCAGGAAGGGCGGGCAGGTTCGAGGTTCTGGGTCCGGCAAGGTTGTTCTGTCTCTTCCGCCTCCGGGGGGCCGTGGGCGGGTTCCGGGGCAGTGAGAAACGAGCCCAGGGCGAAAAACTACAGTCAACCATGATAACAAGGATGGGGCAACTTCCCAAGGCTACTCCAGATTTCGTTATGATAAAGGGAGGGGGGTCTCATTTCGGGGGGGGTCTCTTCCAGGCTATCTTGGAGGGCCTGGGGGGTCTGGGGACGATGTTTTGGAGGGTTCTCCCACGGGGGAGGTCTGAAATGACTTGTCTTGGAGGGTCCAGACCCCCCTCCCTTTTATTACGAAATCAGGAGTACCCTTGCATCCTTGCCCCTTCGGTATTCGGCATCCTTCGGCATCCTGCCGCGCTCCGCACGGACAGCGTCAACGTGGCGTTCCAAGGCCCCTGCATCCTTGCTGCGCATCCTTGCTGTCCTGGTCGAGTGTAGACCAGATGGACACCGGGAGGGGTCCAGCGGAAATGGTCTCGTCCCCCGTCCTGCCAGATTCTCCGGGCTCATGGGCAGTTCAGCCCCCCCTTTGGGCCGCCTCCGAGCACCGGCACTCGCTGTCCCTGCCACGGTTTCCCCTGTTCTCTGGGCCTCACCCCAGCGTCCGGGCTACTGGGACGACAGTGGGGGTTTCTCAGTGGATAGGAGGGGTGCGAGCGGATGATAAGGTGGGTTATATCTGGCCCAACTTGGCTTACAAGTGGGCTACAACTGCCCCAAATAGCGTAGCGGTGTTAGCGATCCGGGCTAAGTGGGCTCCGCCCACTTAGCGGAGTTACCTGACCCTCATAAGCCACTCGGGCTTTCTGTAACCCATTTGCAAGCCAGGCTGGGCCAGATATCACTAACCCACCTTGGCGTCCACTTGTAACCCCCCTTATCCACCTAGAACCCCCCACGGTCATCCCAGTACAGCCGGGGCCCTGAAGAAGGAACCTTTTTCGTTGGGGAGGGGCTCCGTGTTCCTTGATTGTTTGACAGCTTGCCTTAGGTTTTCCCTCGGTGTTCGATGGGGAATCGAACTTTCACTGATGGGAGAAAGGGGCCTCGTTCCTTATTTAGCGTTCCTTAGGTCAACGCCCCCACTGTATCCCTGCCGCGGTCGCCCTTTTCTCTGGGCCTCCCCCAGCTTTCGGGCCAAGTGATCCTTGTCACTTCCTGCGCTTGCCCCCTGGTTTCGGCCTCCTGGGGGGCACTTCCGGGCCCCGGGGCCATCGGACATGGATCCGGGGCGGAGAGCTGTACTCGGGGATGTGCTCGAGACCTGGGGACCGCGGATGGAAACATCAGCCCATCGGATGTCTGCGTCGTGGGATCGAAGAAGAACGGAACGAAACTAGCTACAGGGTCCAGCTGGAATAAGGAACACTTACTTTTCAAAAGGGGCTTGGTCGTTTTTGGCGGCGAGCCCCCCTGGTGTTTCTTCGGGCTTCCTAGAATTGCTTTGAAAAAGAGGGGTTTCGTTCCTTATTTGTCGTTCCTTAGGTCAGGCCGAATACTGTGCGCGTAAACTTTCGAAGCTCCGCGCGGATTTCTTGGATCGGCGCCAGGCTCCCTTGGCAGCGCCTCGTTCCCCGCCCCTGGCACTCCGCTCGCCAGGGGGGGGGTCCCGCGCCGATCCAAGAAAGCCGCGCGCGGTCCTCAGACACGCGTTGTTCATACAGTTATTTCTTATTTCTCCTATTCGTGTTTCTTTTTTGTTTGCTATTATTAATATTTTTAGTATCCTTCTCCTTATTTTCTTTGTTCTCGATATATCATCCACCTTGTTCGTACTCGTATCAATATGTTCCAACCCTCCTGCGTTGGGTACTCGTTTTGAATAGAGCACTGTGTTCGCGTCCTCCTCCCGCCCCTGTCTTCCCTTCGAGTCCTCTTCCCTCCTCCTCCGTTCGCTTCTTTCTTCCTTCCTCCTCTCCTCTTTTGCTTTGCGATCTGCGAGACTGTCGCCACTTTCGAAGGCTGCTGGGGGGCCAGCATTGTGGGTACAAGACGCAATTTCAGATTCGACCTCGCCGTCCCTGGGGGGCTGCGATCTGCGGAAGTACTGCCATCCTAAAGATGGCGATCGTTCCGCAGATCGTGCGGGGGCAGCATCGTGGGTACCAGGCGCAGATTCTGATTAGACTTCGCCATCCTTGGGGTGCCTCGATCTGCGAAACTGCCGCCCCCCTCGAGGGCTGCTGGGGGAGCAGCATTGGCCATCCCTCGGAGGTCGCGAAGTGCGAAACGGTCGCCATATTCGAGGGTTGTTGGGGGGCTGACCTAGTGGGTACCAGACGCAGATTCATATTTGACCTCGCCGTCCCATGTGGGGCTGCGATCTGCGAAACTGTCGCCAGTTTCGAAGGCTGCTGGGGTGGCCAACATCGTTGGTACCAGACGCAGATCCAGATTAGACCTCGCCGTCCTTGGGGCTGCGATCTGCGAAAGTGTCGCCACTCTCGAGGTTGTTGGGGGGGGCAGCATCGTGGGCACCATACGCAGATTCAGACTAGACCTCGCCATCCTTGGGGGGCTGCGATCTGTTTTTTTTCTGGCCACATCCGGGAGTTGACAGGGTGCCAGAATAGTGGGTACCCGCCGCAGGCTCAGATGAGACTTCGCCATCCCTGGGGTGCTGCGATCTGCGAAGCTGTCGCCAGTCTTGAGGGGTGCTGGGGGTGATTCGCATAGTGGGTACCCGCCGCAGGTTCATAATAGACTTCGCCATCCCTGGGAGGCTGCGATCTGCGAACATGTCACCACTTTCGAGGGCTGCTGGGGGGACCAGCGGAGTGGGGCACCAGCCGCAGAATCAGATTAGACTTCGACATCCCTGGGGGGCTGCGATCTGCGGAAGTGGTGCCACGTTCGGGGGCTGCTGGGGTGGCCAGCATAATGGGGTCATTCGGGGGTTGCCAGGGGGCTGCGATCTGCGAAACTGTCGCCACGTTCGGGGGCTGCTGCGGGGGGGGGGGCATCGGAGTGGGGTCCCGCGCATATTCTGATTGACCTCGTCATCCCTGGGGGCTGCGATCTGCGAAGTGTCGCCGCTTTCGAGGGCTGCTGGAGAGGGTCAGCGGAGTGGGGCCCCACGCAGATTCAGATTAGACCTCGCCATCCCTGAGGGGGGTGCGATCTGCGAAACTGTCGCCACTTTCGAGGGCTGCTGGGGGGGTCCAGCGGAGTGACGCCCCGCGCAGATTCAGATTAAACCTCGCCATTCTTGGGTGGCTTCGATCTGCGAAGCCATCGCCACGTTCGGGGGCTGCTGGGGGGTCCAGCGGAGTGGACTCCCACGCCGACTCAGTGTAGACCTCGTCATCCCTGGAGGGGATTGCGATCTCCAAAACTATTGCCACTTTCGACGGCTGTTGGGGGGTCCAGTGGAGTGACGCCTCACGCAGATTCAGACTAGGCCTCGTCATCCATGGGTGGCCTCGATCTGCGAACTTGTCGGCAATTTCGAGGGCTGCTGGGGGGGGTCCAGTGGAATGGGGTCCCACGCAGACTCAAACTAGACCTCGCCATCTTTGTGGGGTTGCGATCTGCGAAACTGTCGCCACTTTCGAGGGCTGCTGGGGGGGGGTCCAGCGGAGTGACGCCCCGCGCAGATTCAGATTAAACCTCGCCATTCTTGGGTGGCTTCGATCTGCAAAGCCATCGCCACGTTCGGGGGCTGCGGGGGTTCCAGCGGAGTGGACTCCCACGCCGACTCAGTGTAGACCCCGTCATCCCTGGAGGGGATTGCGATCTCCAAAACTATTGCCACTTTCGACGGCTGTTGGGGGGTCCAGTGGAGTGACGCCTCAGACTAGGCCTCGTCATCCATGGGTGGCCTCGATCTGCGAAATTGTCGGCAATTGCGAGGGCTGCTGGGGGGGTCCAGCGGAATGGGGTCCCACGCAGACTCAAACTAGACCTCGCCATCTTTGTGGGGCTGCGATTCGAGAAACGGTCGACACTGTCGATGGCTGTGTGGGGGGGGGGGCCAGCGGAGTTGGGTCCCACGCAGATTCAGATTAGACCTCGCCATTCCTGAAGGGGGTTGCGATCTGCGAAATTGTCGCCACTGTCGAGGGCTGCTGTGGGGTTCAGCGGAGTGTCGCCCTTCGCGGGTTGAAATTCGACCTCGCCATTTTTGGGTGGCTTCGATCTGCGAAACTACCGCCATTTTCGGGGGCTGTTGGGGGTCCAGAGGAGTGACGTCCCACGCTTATTCAGATTCGACCTCGCCATCCTTGGGGTGGCTGCGATATGCAATATTGCCGCCACTTTCGAGGGTGCTGGGGGTCCAGCGGAGTGACGTCCCACGCAGATTCAGTTTAGACCTCGCCATCCTTGGCGGGGCTTCGATCTGCTAAACTGTCGCCACTTTCTGGGGCTGCTGGAAGTCCAGCGGAGTGATGTCCCACGCGGATTCAGATTATACATCGCCATCCTTGGGGGGGTGCAATCTGCGAAACTGTCGCCACTGTCGACGGCTGCTGGGGGATCCAGCGGAGTGTCGCCCTTCGCGGGTTCAAATTATACCTCGCCATCCTTGGGGGGCTGCGATCTGCGAAGCTGTCGTCACTTTCTGGGGGGTCCAGCGGAATGAGGTACCAGACGCAGATCCAGATTAGACCTCGCCGTCCCTATGGGGCTGCGATCTACGAAACTGTCGCCACTTTCGAGAGCTGCTGGGGTCCAGCTGGGTGGACTCAATTTACAGCTCGCCATCCCTGTGGGGCTGCGGTCTACGAAATTGTCGCCATTGTGGAGG